TAACTTAATCATCATCTGTTTTCTTTTTTCAATAAGATGTCTTTGAGAAGAGTCTTGACATTTTCCCATTTTTTTAAGTAAAAACAGATGAATGCTTTTTCTAATTTTCAATGAATCAACGTCTTTTAAAGTGATAAGTTTTGTAAAGACATTTGTAACATTTTCCATTGACTCATCTCCTAAAACTCTTTGTAAAACAGTTCTTGCAAAGACAGTTTCCATAGTAGTTGGTGTAATTAAATTAATTCCTTTTAAAACTCTTAATCCAAGAAAGTCTTTTGAAATTAATACACCAAGAAGTGTTGCCCAATTAATGACAGCTCTTGCACCATATTTTTCTAAGTCTTTCATTCTTTCATAAAATGCAATTTGAAAAGTAAATTTATTTGCTTTAGACTTTTGAATAATTTGTTCTGCAATAAGTTCAAAATATTTATTATAAGTTTTTGATTGTCCTAAACAATACATTAAAACAAATACAACTTCTCTTTCTTGTTCTCTATGAAGTCCAAGTTGAAGTATTCTTTGATATCCATCAACATAATCCATTGCACCCATTAATGCAATAAAAATTGCTTTTCTAAGTTCAGTATTCATATGATGTTCTCTTGCTTTTGCAACTGTTTCACTTTCTCCTTGATTTGTTAATGCTGTAACAAACATTTCTGAATGTGCAGAACCAGCTTCCCACCATTTATTTGTTTTATCAGTTATATTTTGTAGTCCAACACTTAATTCAAATCCTTTAGTAACTCCATATTTTTTCCAAACAATTCCAATAATTTTTTTATATCTTTCAAGTACAACTTCATTCTTACCAACTAATTTATTATTCTTTAAATCATTTAAACTTTCAATTACAAATTTCTCTTTTACACTAAGTTCTTTCCCTTTTATTACTTCATTAACTTTTATTAACATTTCTCTTAAACATCTTGGATTTTCACTTCTTATTTTATTTCCTCCATTTTGAATTATTGCCATAACTATATCAAAGTTATTCTTTTCAATAGATTCCATTAATAATTCAACTAATAGTTTTTCATCAATTACTTTCATATAATATAATCCACATAAAAATACTGCCACTGATCCTGTTGGTGGTTCTTGAAATAGTTGTTGAAGTAATTCTCCACAAATTCCAATTTCTACTGCACCAGATATTCCTGAAATAAATGCAGATAATAATAACACTTGTTCTGTTAAATCTGACATAACATTAATTGTTTTTATACAACAAGTAATAATAGCTTGTGTAACAAAAGCTTTTGGATATTGTTGATAATACCCACTCACTGTTCCAATAATTCCTTCTAATGTACCTTCAGAAATTCTATTTAATTGTCCACGTACAAATCTCAAAACTTCTTGTTCGCTCATAATGTGAAAGATATTTGATTATTCATAGAACAACAAAATTTTATAATTAAACCCTAAAATAAAAAAACAAAATTTTTTTTTAAGAAAAAAATAATTTAATATCCAAAAAATGTTATACGAAGATTTAAAATCAATACATTCCTTTGAATTTTTATACTCAAAAGAAATTCATTTCTAACTACTTTTTCTCTTCTACCTTTTTAAAATAATACACCTTAATAAAAATGAACATCTTTGTTGAATAAAAGATATTTTTTGTTCTTGACTTAATTTCATAACTTGAGTTAAAACATAATTAATACAATCATTTTGAACATATCCTTCAAAATAACATAATCCACATCGTTCCATTTCTTTTAATAAACATACATCACAACTTCTTTCCCATCCATCTTTATACATTAATTCAAGTTCAAATGGTAATTCATATGATCCTTTTCTCACTTGATTTAGTACATATTTTAATGCTGTATAGGAATAAATTTGATTTCTAATATGTAATGGACATGTTTGAAATAATTCAGGTTTCATTATATAATCTTTTACTATTTTCTTGACAACTTGTTTTGAGTATTGTGTAAATGCATCATCTGGCCAACATTCTACAAATGCTCCAAACATCATAAAATATTTTTCATAGACTTCAAATATATTTTGATTAAATGAAATTGGTTGTCCTATTTGTGGTTGTTGAATTGTTCGGTTTATTTGAAGTGGTTCTTGTCTATAAAACATCTCTGGTTGTTGAACAACAGAAGGAAATGAAGTATTAAATGTAGACATTCTTTTAGGTGCTGATGGTTGAAGAGGTTGTTGTGGATAAACATTAAGAATTTCTTCTCTTTTATAATGATTAAGATTTTGATTTAAAGGCATTCGTTGTTGTTCTCTAGAAATATCTCTAGGTACATCTCGTGTTGTTTCACATTCAATTGAAGATGATGTACGACAAGATTCTCTTTCTTTAATAATATCACGAACAATATGTTGGAAAGTTCTTTTCTGAGATGAATTAGATTTTTGTGTTGGACCTGTTGTTTGTATAGGAAGTGGTGGTTGTAATAATCCAATTGTTTCTTTTTGGTTTCTTTGTTTTGGAAAAGTTGTTGTAGAAGATAAGTCTTTTTGTAGACTTTTTCTTTCTTTTTCTGATTTTGATCGCCCAATTTTTATTTTATCATCTTTCTTAGGAAAAGCAACAGGTGGTTGAAGTAGTTCAATTGAAGATGAATAGTCTGATTGTTCTTTAGTATTTTTTTGGTTAAAAATATCTTTAATTCCATTTGTCTTAGGGTTGTCGTTTTTGTTTGTAAATGACTTTTCTTGATGATGAGATTGATTCTTTTTTTTTGTTTGGTCATTTATTTTTTTTTCTGGTTCATTGAATGTATTTGTAGTAGGTTGTATTGGTGGTGTTGTTAGATGGTCATTTCCTGTAAATGTTTGTTTCTCTTGGATTAGTTCCATAGTTTTTTCTTTTTTATCAATTTTTAGTGTTTCTTCAGAACAATGACTCTTACTAGGTGTTGAATTCTCAACAGAGGTAAATTCATTGTTTGTTTCTTCATCAGTCAAAGTGTATGAATCATCCTTTTCCTGGTCACTCATCTTTCTATTTTTATAGATTTTTTGTTTTAGTTTTGTTCTTTTCTTCAACAGTATTTATAGATATAAAGAATATTCCAAGTTATTTTTAGATAGTATTATCTTTAAAGGATTTTTTCTATTAATAAACCAGATAATTTTAGAAAAGGAGTTATTGATTAAGATTAAGAAGTTAAAAAAAATAGAAAGGTCAGAAGATAATACTTCAATAAAAGATATAAACTAATAGACTTAATAATTAATTCAATTCCATTTGATTGTTATCATCTTCCCAATACTTTTCAATTTCTGCAATAAGTTCTTGATTTTCTACACTTAAAATACAGTCTTCTTTCATACCATCTAATAACCCAACACAATTACTTTCTTCTAACATTGTTTGATAACAATTAAATCCATGAAAATGACTTTCTTTTTCTCCAACCTCAAGGATTTTTATGATTATTTTCAAAGTATAAAATAAGATATCATATGTTCCACTATATGAAATAGAAAGTATTCTATAAAATGAATCAAATATATCAATATTTAATATTTTATTCATAACATCTTCATCAATAACAGCAAGAACATTAATTAATACCCATCCTGCTTCAATAACAATATCATGATTTGGTGATGTATTTATTTCAACAAGAATATTTTTAAATAATTTACTATTTACAATGAGTAAACCAACATTTCCTTGTTTACATGCAACAATATTTGCTAAACAATACATGAGAATTGGAGTAATTTTATCAGTTATATAATCTGAAATTGTTATTATTTCATTTATAAATCCATTATTTACTAATTCTTGTGCAAATGTATTATCATTTAAAATCAAAGTTCCAATACATTGTAATACTACTATCATTAATTCTTCATTTCCACTTTTAATTCCTTTAATAAAAAGTGGTAAAAGTGGTTGTTTTAATTCTTGACAATAAATTGATTCTTCACATAAATAATCCAATCCAAGTAATGCTTGTGATACAATTGTTGAATCATTCATTGTTGCTGCATGGATAAGATATTCAATAAAATGAGTAACTATAGAATATGATGGTTTTGGTGTAAATGAACATAAATTAGAGATTAGTCTTGTACATTCAACAAACATTGCTTGTTCTGTATTATCTCTAATAAGACATAATAATACATTAATTATTCTATTCATTACTTCATCTCTTAATTTTACATTTTCTGATGCTAAATTTGCAAATACCCAACAAATATCTCTTTTAAATTGATTTGTTAACATAAATGGAAGAAGTTGTTCAATAACTCCAAGTTGAATCATTTTTATTATTTGTTGTGTATTTCCTGAACTTACATTAACTAATATATAAAGTATATTCATTTTAACTTCATTATCAATAGCTTTTTGAAATATTTGTAACATACGAGGAATAGTTATTGTCATAAGTATCATATCAAATAATCTTGTTTCAAATTCATTTGAAACTTCTGGTGCTTTTTTAACAATTTCTTTTAACATTTTAATACTTTGAATTATAATTTCATAATTATCACTTTGAATTCCATTAAAAAGTAATTGTATTTGTTTATCATTTACGTTAAAATATGTTTCTTCTGATTTTAGGTTTATTTTCTTTATTTCTTCTTCTTCTTTTTCATTATTTTTTCTTTTTAATTCTAATAATTGTCTTCTTTTATTTTGTCTTAATGTTGAATGTATTGAATAACTATTATTACATACATCTGTTAAACTTTGTGAACTTTTTCTATACATTCCTTTTATTTTGTTTTTACTAGTTTTTAGTTTGTGTTTTTTGAATAACATAATTTTATATTTTTTAATTTGTTGAACTTGAAAATTTTGTTGAATTATGTTCTAAATAAATCATTTTTTAAGTGAAAAGACAGAGATGTATTGTTTCAACGATGATCTTTATTTCACAAAAAAGAATACAGAAAAACTTCATCAACATAAATATTCATGCATTGATCATTCATTATTGAATAATTACATTTTTAATAGTTTGTATTTTCTTTTACTTTTATAAAAAATGTTATTATATTTCTTCTTATTATTAAATATATTTATTCTTTTAGAATATTTATACCAACCAATTCTAACCTATTTAATACCAAGAAATTTAGCTCCAAATATTATTAGTATTTTAGGATTAATTTCATGTCTTCTAGCTTTGATTGTGCATTATCTTAATATTTTTGGACGATATGAATATGTATTAATTGGGATTTTACTATTTTTATATCAATTATTTGATAGTTTAGATGGAATGCAAGCAAGAAGAACAAAATCTTCAAGTGCATTAGGAGAACTTGTTGATCATGGTATTGATGCATTTACATCAGGATTAATTATTGTTATTTTAACTCGACAATGTGGAATGAATCAAACACAACAAATGATTTTAATACTTGAATGTTATATAGTTTTTTATATGAATCATTTTATTGTATATTTTGAAGGTAAATTAGAATTTGGATATATATTAAATCCAACTGAAGCATTATGTGTATTAATTCTTTATCAAATAACTAGAACAATTTTTAATTTAACTCCATCAATTTTTCAAACAACAAAATTAGGAAATTTATCATTAAATACATTTATTGTTATTATACTTAGTATATTTGCTTTACTTAATGTTATTACTATTTTAGTTAAGGTAAGAAATTATTCTAATTTAATTAAAACAATTTATCCATTTATGATTATTCTTCTTCTTGCTTTATTTATTATGATGAAAAAAACTAATTCATCAATTCTTCTTCAACTTAAAATGTTTACTGCAATATTATTATTAACTCATTATATTCAACTTTTTATTGCTCATTATATTCTTCAAATAGATCGTCCAGGAATTGGCTTTTTATATTCTACTTTTATGTTATTTTCTAATTTTTATCTTGTGAATATTTCTAATGTTAATTTGATTACTGGTAACTTAACTGGAATAGACTCATTTTCAACACTTATTTTAATAGTATTTGGATTTAGTTTTGCATTTTTATCAGAATTATCATTGGTCATTAATGTGTTTATTGTGTTCAGTAAAGTTTTAAGACTCCATCCATTTACTATTTGAATTATTTGGTCTTTTTTAAAGTGAAAAAAAAAGATAATTTTACTTATTATTCATTTATCGTTATTTAATTTGAAATATTCATTTAAAACTCTTGTTCACTTAATAGCATATTTGGTATTCCATTATGAATTGGATAATGTCTTCCACAAACTGGACAAATTAATTCACCTTCAATAACTTGACAATCCATAACAACATCCCAAAGAGCTTGAAGAAATTGTTGATTTGTTTTCCAATCTTCTGGGAGAGTTGGTGGAACAGCTAATCCAATATTTGCTGCACTAGTCACAAGTCCATTCCAATTTAATCGTTCTGATTCAACAAGTGAAATTAAAAAATCTGCATCAAGTGGTGTTGTTACTTTTTCAACTTTTTCTGCTGTAATTTTTAATGGAAAACTATTGATACCACATTGTCGTTTTGTACATATAAGAAGATTGTGTGTAAATAATTTCATAATGTATTAATCAAAAGAGTACAAATAAAGTTAAATTTTATTTGAGATGAGTAGGGTTTTGAATTTAGTAATGATTAATTTTTCGATATATATAACGTAATTGATAGAAAGAAGAAACTCATTTAAAACTAGTATTACTAAGGTATGGAAAGAGAACACAAAAACCAACTCGAAGAAATACAACAACAATATGATATGCATTTTGCACATGAACAATTAACATATAGATATTTTAAAGAAATGCAAGAAATTAGAAAAAAAGATAGAGTTTGTTGTTTTTATATAATATCAGAAAGATATTTTAATATGTTAGCAACAAATGAAAAAGATGAATGAAGAAGAACGAATAGCTAGAGCTGAGACAATGTATCAATTAGAAGATGGTCAATATTTTATTAAAAATGGAACTTTAATGTATAAGTTATCATCAAAAGATATTGTTGCTAAAGCATCTGTTCATTGAATTACTTGTTTTCCAGATTATTATGTTATTTCTCTTTGTTTTTTTTTGTCATCAAAAATACAATCTCATAAGATTTTATTCTTAAAAATGAAATATAGTTTAGACTTTCCGTTTATTCAAAAAATATCTCAGTATTTATTTAATATTAATGATTTATTGTCTTTTCAATTAGTTAGTAAAAAGTGTGGAAAGGTGTTTCTTTTTTCTTCTTGTTATCATTATCAACCCTTTAATTATGATATTTTCCAAACTGATTCAAAGGTTTATGATGAGTTTAGAATTAAAATGAAATTATTTCATAATTCCCCCATCATTGAACTTAATGAAATTACTCTTCAATTCATTGACTTAATTCCTTCATTTTCCTCAAAACGTTTTATACTTAATGGAAAAATAGTACAAGATAATGTACCTATTCAAATCCTTCAACAAACAATTGAATATTCAACTACTTGTTATCTTCCAGAAATTAGTTCAATGTCTTCAGTAACTAAAGTCAAAGGTTATTTACCAAAAGGAATGAGACTAATAGACTGGATGAGACGAGAAGATAAATTGAACTTTCTTTTTGTGATAAGTTATGATGACTCAGATGTCATTTTAGATGGTTTTGAACCAAACACCATTGCTAGCGAAATTGTAATATTACTAAAGGGAGAAAAGAAACATCTCACACAGTATAACAACATTCCTCATTTGACTATTTGTCTTAATCATTTTAGTGAGCCGTATTACTCGAATGAAATTGTTATGAAACAAGAAAATGGATTAATGCGAATGGTTGAACCTACTGATAGTATTTCTTTAAGAATGTTTTATGACATGTATTTGTTTACTTATGTTGTCATTCTGAAGTCAACTCGAAATGGTAAGATTCTTCATTTAGAAACATATAATATGGTAAAGAAAGTCATCAATTGTAATGTCCCACAACAACAACTAATATTACCAAAAGACATGGATTATTTCGAAGGAGAATATTATCCACCTGAATGTCATTTGAAGGAATTAAAAGTCAACTTCTGTGATACTAACCAATCAATTGAACAATCAATTACATCACTAACATTAAATAGATTTGTTGACTATTATCAATTTCTACCAAACTATGCTCCTTTTAACTCTAGTCAACTAAAAACTTTACAACTCATTAACAGTGAATTAAATCATTCACTGAAATATCTTAGTCAATTAACACAACTTGTTCTAATAGAATGCAATATCAATGTCCCAATCAATAACTTCTATCCATCTTCATTGAAACGGTTGTATTGTCAAAGAGAACAACTTCCTCATTGTTTAAATGTAGAAGAAATGATTATCATAAATTTGAATGACTCATTTAATTCTTCTCATTGGCTTCAATCAAGTAATATCATATTTAGTGTTTACTTATTTACATTACTATTATTGTGGTTGTATTTCAATACACAAAGAATCTCAATTGTTTTTCCATTAATAATTATTCTTCAACTCACTTTGATTCAATCATCTTGGAATAATAATCCATGTCGGTGTCTTAATTTGAATCAATACCATTATCTCCACCAACTAAGTATTTGGAATATTCAGGATGATATAATTCAATCAAACAACATTCAACTATTAGCAATATTTCATTCAACAAAATATATAAATTTAAAGTCAATCAAATCACTTAAGAGTGTGTTTTTGAAGCAAAGCCCATATGTAATTCCTCCACCATTTTGTAAGTCATATATTTTGAATTAGTTGTTTGTTTTTAATAATAACTGTTTGGTAGTTATTCTTAAACAGCATGGATAAAAACTATTATTATTTTCAATGAACATAAAACAGAAAGAGTAAAAGAAAAATTGTAGCTCGCTGCTTCATCTAAGAATTTACATATATTCTGTTGACATTAACTAAAATATAACTCTACTTATCAACAGTATTAATAAATATAAGACTTTCTTACTTTGTTATTCTTTGTTTTAGAAAAAAAAGATTTAGATAAACATTAACAAGGAGTATAATCACTTTACTACTTAAGAATGAGATAAATTAATAAAGAAATTTATGAAATGAAACTTTATTACTTGAAAATTATTTTCACTGGTTTATAAACATTGTATTGATAATAATTTATTAGGTGGGTGTTTTATAATAACTATAAAACAATAAAATATTATATTAGTTTATTTTATTGCTGAGGAGGAGGTGGTGGTGCATAATAAGGTTGTTGAGGAGGGGGTGGTGGTTGTGTAAATTGGTCTGGAGGAAGTGGTGGTTGTGTAAATTGGTCTGGAGGAAGTGGTGGTTGTATATATTGGTCTGGAGGTGGCTGGACATATTGGTTTTGAATAGGATATCCTTGGTATGATTGTTGTTGGTAACAATAGTTTTGCTGGGGATTTTCATAGCCATAATTTGGTTGGTTGATAGGTGTTTGTTGTAATTCTTGTTGATTACTTTGATTGTCCTTATTATCTGTTGGTTTGTCTTTCTCTTTATTTTCTTCTTCATCAGCAGAATGCTCGCTTTTATTAGAATGTTTCTTTTTGCTCTTTTTATTATCACAACAATCACAACAATCACAACAATCGCAACAATCACATAAGTCACAGCAAGCGAGACAAAACTCTTCAAGCAGAGGTGCTATACAAATATCACAGAAACATTCGAAGCAAATTCCAATCAAATCACCCATACTTCAAATATTAATTTAAGATGAAGATTTTATCTTATTGTACTACACATGAATTAAAAAATAAATTTGTAAAAAGTTATTAATAATTATAAGGTTGTATTTATCTATTTTATTATATAATAATTCAACCAAATTCTCGAATAATATCGAAAAATACTTCTTAAAAAAAAAATAACTATAATAATGTTATAAAGTATTACTGTTAATACTATTCTTTCATTTCTTTAATCTGTGGAATATTTTAAACAAAAAATTTCTATTTAAACAAATATTTTTTAATCTTCTAATTGCTTCTCTTTTTCTAAATAAATAATTGACCATTCTAGAGAATAAAATGATTAAAACTACCTAAAGAGTAATCTCAAAGGTATGTGAATGGTATAAAGAAATTATTATCATTCATTCAGTTAAATCATTTAATAATTCATAGTTTAATAGTTATTTAATTTTTCTTATTAAATATATACACCATACTTTACATATTCTTTATTTCAATGATTATATGATGAATTATTATTATATTTATAAAAATTAAAATATTTCATCTATTAAAAGTTGTTTAAATAATACCTAATGCTTATTATAACATTAATATTCACAAGATAATTGTTAAAAAAGTGCTAATAAAAAATAGTCAACAACCATTTAAATAAACACAACATAAAAGAAAAATAACTTAAAGTTATAATTATATAAATAAATTCATTCTATGATGTAAAAGAAAGCTCTAAAACTTTTTTTAATAATATGTGTATTATTAAATTACTTTTATATGTTAAAAAGTGAATAATTATTATCTTTATAAATACATGCTCTCCTATTATAATAATTACTATTCCAACATAAGTATGAATCAATACTATTCTAATAGTATTGAATAAGATGTTTTATAACTAAAGATAAATCATAACTAAATGATAATTGATGATTCCATGCTTTAATTTAGTTTAAAAATATTTGTAATGTTTCTTAAATGCCATCTTTGAGTCTGAAGTTGAAGTAAATTTATAAAATAAATAACAAGAATAAAACAAGTAAAAAACAACAAAGAAGTAATTAACATAATAAATATTTTAATAAATTTTAATTTAATCTTGAACTTTAAATTAATATTTGTTCAGTAATTAAAAAATTATTAGAAAGACTTTTAACAGAAATAAAAAATATATAAACTTAAACAATAAGTGGTTGTTTGTCATTAAGAAATTATAAAATTGCTGGGTTTTGTTTCTATAACTTAAGTATTAAATATAATATTAAGTATTTATAATAAACAAATTATTATTTAAATATTATTTAAAGCAATAAAATAAATCATAACTAAATCATAAAGATGTTTTTGTTTATTATTGTTTCTTTTATAAATAATTATTTTTTCATTGTTATTATTGAATAGAATGTCAAACTTTATTTAAAAGTTCTTTTTAATTTTTTAAACTTTTTAATGATCGAAATTAATGTCAATAGAACAACCAACACATCGTTGTTATGAAGAATCAAGTGGAATGTTATTTGAAGTAAAAGAAGCTCATTTATTAGCACTAGCAAGAAAGATAGCAAAAAATAAAGATATTCAATACGAGGAAGTTGATGACCGTCATTTATTTTTAAAAAATACTGAGGTAAATATATGTGCTGAAGTCCAGGCAGAATTAGATAAGTATATTTATGATAAAGCTAAAAAACAATATTATCGATAATAAACATATTTTGTTATTTAGCTGAAATTCTTCAATTTTTTATTTTTGGAATAATAAAAACAAATAACAGAAATTACTATTAAAAAATGTTGATTAAAAAAAATAGAAAAAGGAACTTAGAAAAAATTATAGTATTATATAAAAACAATGAGAATGATTTATTGTTTAATTATCATGTTGTTTGTATGTTTTGGAGAAAGTAAAAGTCTTTCTAGACAGTCTAAGAGATTTGCAAATAAAGTTGCAGATGAAATTATTGGAGTAAAAGTTAATATTAATTATGTTCCAAAACAAAAAACACGCTTGTTCAACTTTGAAAGTTGTAAGAATTCTACTGCAGCACAATGCCTCCTCTGTAAACAAAAGGTAGTTGAAGATGAAGATTATTGTCAAAACCCAACTATTCCAGAACAAAAATGTATGTGTCTTGCAGCACGTCATCAATGGAGAACAATGTATGAAAACGTTGATGATAAATTACAAACAGTTGAAGAGGCATGTGCTTTTGTGTGTGATATTAAACAACCAAAAGAAAATATTAAAGTAAATGAAACATTAATTCAAACTAATTACCAAAATGGTACAATTAAAAATGAAACACTTAAAAAAACAACTACCAATGGTGCATCTAGTGTTGTTGTTATGATTTGTTTTGCTCTTCTTATCTTCATTTACTAACTTAAGTCTCACTGTCTTTTCGTTACTTTTTTATTTCTTTTTTATATCTTCAGTTTTGTAATATAAATAAGAGATAGAAAGAAAAGGATTATTAATTAATATAACTATAGTTATTTATCATTTCAATTTCTTTTAATCATATGAATTGAAAGGACAAAAACAAGTCAAAATAAAAGAAATAAAATGATTATTAGATTTGGTCAATAAGCTTATTTTGTAATGTTTGTTTAGCGTTTACTTTGACTTTGAAATCTATTGATGATTTTGTTTCAGGAATTAATTTAGCAATTTCTGGATATTGTTCAGCAAGAGTTGGTTTTATAGGGGTATTTAATTTTGACACTGGTTTCTTAACATTAAGAGAACCTTTAACCCCACTCTTTTTTAATAAGCATTTAACTTCTTTTAATTTCTTTTTAGCAGTAATCTTCTTAATAGCATCATTGATCATTGAGTTTAACTTATTAACATCAAATTGTTGAATTTGAATTTTATTGTCGTACATTTTTGCTAAGTTAATGAGTTCATCTCCACAAGGTGTTCCTTTAGTATATTTTTTAGTAATTTTAGCAGCTTTTTTAACTTTCTTGGCAACAGCCTTTGCACGTTCAATAGATGGATTAATAGAATTTTCATCAATAGAAGACATAATTCTTTCAGCCATTGACTCTGCTTGAGCTGAAGTTAACTTTAATTTTTCTTCTAATCTTTTGACAACTAATTGCTTTGATTTAATCAAAGCTGGTGGAAGAGTTAAATCTTTAACTACCTTAACTCCAGTTAATGCTTCAGTTTCATTTGTTTTTGCTTGAACACACATTATAACCATAATGACAAAAAGAGCGTTCATATTATGAATTAATAAAATAATATTTCTAGTTAAGATCTTAAAAAAATTTTGATTTTTGTCTTGTTAGTTATTTTTTTCTTTTTTTTTTTTGAATAGTCTTATCTAAAATACTTACTTATATGAAAGAAGTAAATTAGAAGACGTTAAGGTAAAAAAGAAAAGGACATCATATTTAATAGTTTTAACTTAACACCAAAATGAATATTTCTTATTAACAAAAAAAAAACTTTTTTGTTGATATGATAGTATCTTGTTATTATTATAAAATTTTTAACTAAAATGACAAAAAAAAATTTTCTTTTAAAATGAAATAATCAATAATAAATTTTATTATAAAAATAAGAAATATTAAGAAGAAAATAAAAATTCTTATTGAACTTAAATACTTCTAGACTTGATGTATTCTGTTCAAAGCTACGATGATAAAGACACTTTTTCTGTTTATGATCAAAAAAAGATTGATCGTGCTGAAGAACAAGAGTATATTGTTGGTTTACTAAAACAGATATATCAAGTTGTTGTTCCAATTGTTTGTGTATTTTTAGCTGTAGTAAAGTGCATTCTTGTAATTAGACTATCCTTTAAATTAGCTACAAAAAGTATTTGGGTAGTTAAACGGGATTGGTATGCTAAATTAGGTCCAGCACTTAATCCATATCATTTGGTATTACTTGACCTTCTTTCAAGTGGACTATTTTTAGTTATTCCATTGTGGGTGTTTTTATTACGAAAAAAAATTTCTCTTAATTTTTTGTTGTTAAACATAGTCTGCTTTGGAGCTTTATCTTTCATTATGCTATTTTTCACTTCTTTCGGTGGTTCAATGTGGTTATTTGGCATTAACATTGCTGTTTATTGTATTTTTATACTCATTGATGTGGTTTTACAGAAAATGTTTAATGTTCATTTAATGTTGAGTCATTCCTATTCAGTTTGAAGGAATTTAATTCTTCTTTTTAAGAATATCTTTAGGTTTTTTTTGAATATATTATTTATTTTGATAAATTTTATAATTACAGTAGAGTTAAAATTATAATATGAAGAAACATATTAAATACTCAATAATTAAGATAACTTTTTAATAAAAATTAATTGAGAATATACATTTATAACGTATACTTCTTTAAGATGGAATATAAATATTATATAAATTTCAAACGTATTATGACATTTAATAAAGCTTATAACAACAAAGACAAATACTATACGTATTGAATTTTCAGAGGATGAATATTATGATGTTTGATAAGCAAAAAATAAGCATTTACTAATGGTTGGTTTATAGATAGTATTTTGAGATAAATAAAATAGTCATATGAGTTAATAAAAGTTGGGTAATTAAAATGATAATAATTCTTAAAAGAAACAATAAAAAATACTATTTTAACAAATAAATTTTACTAAAATGATTAGAGTAATTAGTAATTTGAAGTAATAGACTAGACAAACTGTATTTTAACTTAATTTTTTTATTCTAATAATATTAAAAAGAATCAAAACCTAACAAAAAAAAAATAACGGTAAATAAACTTAGAATAAAAACTCTTCCTTATATTTTAGTAAGTTAAAATTAAATGATGATATTTTAATAGAAATTAGGGTCTTTTCTTATTATTTTTGAGTCTCTACCAAAGTGATGTCCTAAGTTTTGAATATATTCTTTTTCATGAGTTGCAGGTATCCAATCACATTGTGCAACGTCTCCACATCTAATAAATTTTGAAAATTTTTGCACTTTTAGAAATTTGTTTAATTGTCGTCTATTTAATAATTTTCCATAAAATCCCCACCAACAATGTGGAGATAATCCATTATCAAACGCTCCCTTAATGGAAGGAATTATTCTTGACTCAAACATACTTTTATCGTTCTTTGAAATGTAATTAAGAACAGAACTTAATTTACTGAATGCATTTCTTTTTAATGCCTCATCATCTTCCATAAACAAAACAAAATCTGTTTGAGGAAAGAGAGATAAAGCATATTTAACAGTTTCATAGAAATAAAAATTGATTCTGTTGAATTTCAAATGACCATCAACTTTATAATCACCTTCTTTTCTTAACATAAAGATAGATTCATAGATGTTGATTAATTTTTTCATCATTTCATTATTTTCAATGATATTACTATTAACAGGAGTAATAAATGTCTTTATACCAGCATCATTTAATATTTTTTCTGCTTCATCAATATCTTTATAATCACAAGTATGACATCCCTTTGTTAAAAATACACCATCAATAACTATATCATCATGTCCATGTAAATATGAATTTGCTAAATATTCTGCACTATAAATTAACATTGGAAGTTTTTTAGGACTTCCAATCATAGGTATAACAATATGATACTTAGCAAAAACACAAAGTATTAAAAGGAAAAAGATAATAAATATATTCTTTTGCATTACGTTTAATTTACTTTGTTTTGAACTTTAAAATAAGTTCATCACTTTGATTCTTTCAAATTCTTTTTGAATTAAATAATCAAAAAGGAATAAAATCAACGAAATAAACAGGAAAATAATATAAAAAGTTATTTTAAAATAATCTTGTCGTTTTTTTTTAGAAAATTATTCGATTTTTTAAATTATTAAAAATAACATTACTAAATTAATACCAACAAAAATTATTTTTGTAATGTAAATGAAAATAACTACTATGTTTGTTCATTTTTATTTAAATTAAAATATTCTGATAGTATAAAAATTACTTTTTTCTTGTTTATTACAATGCTGATAAGCATAATTCAATTGTGTTTAATAAAGCTTAAATAAGAATGTTTCTTATTTGATGATAATATGCAATGTAATTATTTTATTTTTAAATTTATAGAACTATTTAAATTGTAAAAAAAAGTATTTTTTTAAATCACTAAAAATAACATAAAACAACCCCTCAATTTATAATATCTTTAAAAATTTAGTTTATTTCATTCCCTTAGAATAAGCATTTTTTATCAATTTTTTTTTCATTAAATCAAAACAAAGGAATAGAATGTTTAGAATTTAATCTAATAGTTTTTAAAAATCATAAAAACATAAAAAAATGAGAAGTTTTTTAATGATAAAAAATTATAAAAATTTAGTTTTATTAGTTTTTAATTTTTCTTTTTCATTTTATTTATTTGAAATAATTTCATTCATTCGAGTGAATGTATTGTTCATGAGATACTTCTAAATGTCTATATTCAACTTGATATTCTCCATATTATTTCTTCATGTTTTTCATATTATTCATTATACCTATTATCATTATGTAAAATTGAAATTATAATGTTTTGTTTTTTCAACATATTTACTGTTTCTGAATTGACTAGTCTGTGTGTTGTAATTAATTTAATTTATTCTATTAATTTGTCTTACTTTATCTTGCTGAATTTTATCCATTTCTGTTTGATTAATAAATTCTAGATTTATCCTTTTATCATTTACAATTATCTTTTTGTAATTGATTATTCTTATTTGTTTTATCTTCTGTATAAATGTTCAGCCTTTCATGAAACATTGTTTGTATTGTTAATTACTTTTGTTTTTATTATTGTTTTCTTCTCCATTATTTCTTTATTGTATTTCTTTTATATTTCAATAGAGTTATTCTCATCATATTTTCATTTATTATTTCATATTTATTTCGTATCTTCTTATTTTCAATACAATTTATTATTATATCTTCATTTGTTATTATTTTATATTTACAAATAGTACATTATTTAACATTTGATGTAGTTATTTATTTGTTCATTTCATATGAATATATTATTCTATTTCATTAATTTCATTGTTTAAATTCATTTCGTTTTATATTTTATTATCACCGTTATTTATTTGTTATTTTCTTATCACATCATTTTCATTCTATTTTATTATTTGATTAATCATTTAATTCATTTTACTTTTATTAATATATTTCTTTATATTTATTCTTTAAGCATTTTATTAATGTATTTGAGTTATTCGTATTTTGTATAATTTGATATGTTTAATTTATATTCATTTATTATTCTAATCAATTATTATCTTAATATTTCATATTGTGTTATTATATATTTTATTCTTCTCATTTCTTATCTTGATTTTATTTATATTCTTTCTTTTATTTCTTTATTTGCATTCTTATTCTTCTTTTAATATTATTGTTTATGATTTGAGCTGGCAACGAAAAAAAGCAAATAATTGAAAAAGAAGATAAAGAAAGATATAAAAGAATAAAAAGAAAGTAAGAAGTTTGATATGATGAAGAAAGAATAAAAGTAGAAAGGAGAGAAGATAAAAAGAAAGAAGATAAAGAGTAATAAAACAAAAGAGATGATAAAAGAAGAAAAGAAAGAAAAAAATAAAGGATGCAAATTTTATTTCAACAAATAAAAAAAGTGCAAAATTTAATGATGCAAAATAATTTGAAATAAAAATAAATCATCATTTGATATTATTATATTTGATAATAAATTATATTATATATTAAATACATCATATTTCTTTATTATTTATCTTTCTTTTCTTTTTATTATTTCATATATTCCATTATTATTCGTTCATTTATTATTTATTATTTATATTTCATTTATTAAATAAAATGAAAATGAAATTATAAAATAATCAATTAATTAAATATGGGTACGAAAATTAGCAAAGAAAAAATGCATCTAAATAATTTACAAAAAAAGAAAAAAGAAGCAAAATATTTTGCATCCATAGAATTTTCCATTTATTATATTTTGCTCCTAAATAAAAATAAAAAATAAAAAGTATGATAAATATACAATCTGTATATATTTATGTTTATATTTTATATTCATTTATATTTAATTTGTATGAAATATTAATGAAATAGATGATTTGATTATTCATATTTATTTTTATTCTTTTCTTTATATGTTATTTATCTATCTTATTTTTATATATTTATTTCTCTGTTTATATTATTTATATCATTGTATTCTTCTTATTATCTCTATATTATTATATTATTATTTTAATTTTTTCTATTTATAATATT